AGTTTTGATTTGGAGCTTCGAACAATTCACTGATCTCAAAATTTTATCATCTGCTTTCATAATTATTCTTTCCTTCAAAATAAACAAATTGCTCATTTTTGTTTTGTTTTTTTTGTATATCACTTTGTTATTTCTGTGACAGCGGCATCACCTAGTGGCCCCGGCGGCCATGGCCTCGGCGGACAAGGGATCGCCCGAGCGCGGCGGCGGCGACGGCTCGGACAAGCGTGAGTCTCTGTTCACACATCCCCCGGTCGTGCAGCGGCCGCTGTTTTCGTCATTATTGCCTCCGCGATAACCACCAATGTAATGCGAGGAGCAATAAAAACTTGGCCTTCCGCAGCGGCCGGGTCGTCGCCCACGGTCCGGACGCGCTCCGGGGAGGTGCGGGGCCTGCGCGAGCGCACCCACCACGGCACGGTCTACTTCAGCTTCAGGGGCGTCCCGTACGGCGCGCCTCCCACCGGCGAGATGCGATTTAAGGTGAGGAGTCCACCACGAGGGTCCCTTCACCATAATTGCAAGCGTAAACAATTTTTCTGTTTTTTCTTGATTTTTTTAAAATCTGACTCTCTGATTTTTCTGATTTCCTCCATTTTTTCTGATTTTTCTGATTCTTCGGATTTTTTTAAAATTGATTTTTTAGGGTGTGTCCACTGTTTTTTGCAGTGCCCCCCCCCCCTTCTCTCTCCTACCCTCTCCCGCGCCACATATTACACGTTGTTGTCATGCCGTTTTAGGCGCCGCGGCCCGCTGAGCCTTGGACCGGGGTCCGCGACGCGACCAAGCCGGGGCCGCCCAGCTACCAGGCCTTTTCAATCCCACCCTTTGGTCCGGTAAGCGCACTACTGCTAATTGGTGGAAAAAAATGTCCACCTAGGGTCTAGTGTTTGAAGCCCTGGAGAGTTTCCAGGAAATTTCCGGGGAAAAATTGAAAATTTCCCAGATTTTGGAAGTTTTTTGGATATTTTCCAGAATTTTTCGGAAAATTTCACCTGAACTCAGTCAAGCAAACAGACGCCACGGTGCAAGTTGGCAGTTACACTAAATTGTCCTGTGACATTCAGAGAGCGGGCGATTCCCACGGACGAAGGTTTAAGCGAATGAACCTCATTTTGCAGGCGTCGTGGAGCAGGCGGGAGGTGGTCTCCTTCATCAAGACGGTCCCCACGCTGCTGCGGGTCGGCATCCAGCTGCTCTCCGCCTCGGAGGACAGCCTGTACGCCAACGTGTTCACGCCGCAGGTGAGGGAGGAGCTGAGCTGGTCGGGGCGGGCGCCTGGCGGGTAGGCAATCGGAGCGGAGCTGCGCGCGCGAGTCCTCGGGTTGCCTACCCTGCCCTTCGCAGGCGCCCGCGCCGCGCCCGCCGGCGGGGTGGTGAAATCGACTCGACAAATGAATCGTTTCTGGCTGGGGATTCGCAGCTCCCGACGACGGGCAGGTGCAAGCCCATGCCCGTCATGGTGTTCATCCACGGCGGCGGATTTCGGCTGGGCGACGGCGACTTCCTGTACGGCCCCGATTACCTCATGGACGCTGGCGGGCTGGTCCTCGTCACCTTCAACTACCGCCTCGGGCCCATGGGTACGGACGCGCTCCACGTCCTTGCAGCAATTACGAAAATTTTCCGGAAAATTTAAAAACTGTCCTAGGAAAAAAAATCGAAAAAAATTGATATATTTACCACACAGACCTTTTTGGAAAATTAAAATCCCTCCTATTTCCACGTATCGTCCTAGGCTTCCTGTCCGTGGGCACGGAGGCGGCGCCGGGCAACGCGGGCCTCAAGGACCAGGTGCTGCTGCTGCACTGGGTGCGCGACAACATAGCGGCGTTCGGCGGCGACCCCAACCAGGTGACCCTGGCGGGCGAGAGCGCGGGCGGCGTGTCCGTCCACCTGCACATGCTGTCGCCGCAGTCCAGGGGCCTGTTCCACCGGGCCATCGCCTCGTCCAGCCTGGCCGGCAGCGAGTGGGCGCACGAGGAGAACCCCCTGGAGCACGCGCGTCAGCTGGCCAAGCACCTTGGCGTCGAGGACTCGGACCCGGACGCCATGGTGCGGAGGCTGCGTTACCTGCCGGCGAGGGACATCATCCGCGCCTTCGACTCGCACATGCACCACCCGTTCGTGAGTAGCCCGTCCCGACGTACGCTTATTGATTTTATGGTGAAGTACCGCCCGGCTGGGTCCGCCTGACCGCTCTGCTTGTTCTGTTTCATAGACTCCTCGCCTCAGCCTGGGCATGTACTTCGTGCCCGTGGTGGAGCCGCCGCACCCGGGCGCCTTCCTCACCGAGGACCCCCTCCGGATGCTGGCCGAGGGCAAGCAGGTCCAGATGCCGTTCCTGACCGGCCACAACAGCAGGGAGGGCCTCCTCATCTTCCTCGGTGCGTTCTTCGGTCCCCCGTTAGCAAGGTTTGGGGTTGGAGGTCCTGGAAAGTTTCCGGAAAAATAAAGGAAGATTTCAGAAGAGAAAATTTCCCAGTCCCTGAAATTTACCTAATTTTCCGAAAATTTTTCGAAAATTTCCTTATTCTTCCGGAAATTTTCGGAAATTTACAACCCTAGCAAGGTTTTGCGCGTTGCCGCGGGCGATTCCTCGATCACACTCTTGCCCCAGGCATCGGCGACGGCAAGCTGGGCCCCAAACCCCGCCGCAGGCAGAGGGCCTTGATGAGGAAGTGCGCGAAGCAGCGCCCCGAGGCCTTCCTGCCGTGCGACTTCCACCGCGGCCTCGACGCGGCCGACCGGGACGCCGTCGGCAGGGAGGTGCTGCGGCACTACTTCGGCGAGGAGGGTCCCGGCCCGGACAAGTTCGACGAGTTCATCGACGTGCGTATGCAGTCATCAATGCTTGACGCTAACCTATGGCGGCGTTTTTGTTGATGCAAAAACCGTGTGTGAGTTTGCTGACGTAGTTTTGCCCGCGACTGAATATGCCGTGTGTCGTTGATCTGCTCGCAGCTCTTCGGCGACACCATGTTCGCCATCCCCGTGCTGAGGGGCAGCGGGGCCCACGCTGCCAGCAGCACCGCGCCCGTCTACCACTACTACTTCAACCACGACGGCGAGCTGGGTGCCTTTAAGGCCACGTTCAAAGCGCACGATTATGAAGGTAGGCGCAGGCAGGCGTGTACTGTCCATGTAACATGTCACTAGTGGAAAGTGAAAAGGGCGTAAGTCCAATGGTGGACTTCAGCTATTTTCATTTTTCACCAGTGATGTGTGAGCCAGACGCTAGAAGACATACTCATTATTCCCAGCGCATATTTTTTGTTTGTCTTCACACGTCGAAAGAATCACTCAAATTAATTTTTTGACGCAAAATGTCAACTACGACCCTATCTCCGACAGGTGCCTCCCACGCCGACGACCTCGGGTACCTGTTCCGGAGCGGCAGCCTGGCCGCGTGTCACCGGCGCCCCCTGCACCGCGACGAGCAGTGCCGACGGAACATGGTCACGCTGTGGTCCAGCTTCGTCAGGACGGGGTAAGGGCCGCGGGCGGCGCACCATCTTGGGGGCCGTCTAGAAAGTACACGCGCCCAGGGCATTCGCCGTATACGAAACTGTCCAGTTCAGCCTCTGCAAGCTCTCATGGCGCCTGATGGGTAGGCAACGTCTCGCCTGCAGTGCACGCCTGTATTGCGGGCTGGCCTACCCTACACCCCGCAGGCGCCTAGCTTTCGAAATTTTCCGAATGGATCCAAGAAAAAAAATAGTGACGTATTTTCTGGACGACCCCCTATACCCCAGTGAGAAGTGGACACCCCGCATCACCGCGACATCAAAATGACATAAATAGCGTATAACTAAGCTATGTCGCAAAAAATAGCCATCAAGCTAAAACAAAATAACTATGTAACTAAACATAGCTAAATTTTTACGCTGGCCGAATAAATAGTTATCCCTCATTTAGCCAGTAGTTTAGCTATGCTGCTCATCATTTTTTTCCGTGCAGATTTCAGGATCATCTGTGACCATTGAGAGTTCTTTGCCTGCAGGGTACCCACTGCAGCCGGGTTAGAGGGTGATGCGTGGACAGCTCGATCCGCACAACAACTGCGATTCCTCGAGATCTCCGACAAGCTAGTCATGAGGACGGGGGCGCCGTACCCGCGCCTTTCGTTTTGGAACGACATGTACAAGAAATATTTACACGTCAGCTTGTTTTAGAAATGATGTGTGTTCAACGTTTGAACATATCGCTGCGGAACTGATTTGAAACATTATCCCACCCAACTTGAGGCTGTGACTTCCAACTTGTTGGACCAAAGTTTTATCTAATTATCATTCAACCACAAAAAGATTTTTTTCAAAATAAAATAGTGAAAATAGCTTGTTTGAGCTTTATTGTATGAACACAAATGACCAATATTTTATCACTTGACTAGCAGCAGCAATTTGAAGAACTGACAAAACTTCCAGGCATACATATATTGTAAAAAGAAGGCAAGTATTTAATTTGCTTCTGGTCACATCACAGGTCTAAACACAGGTCCTATCTTCAATCCTTACTTTGAAAAAATCCTTGCTACACACAGGACTTACAATGTATGACATTATTATTTCCCCCAAAATTTATATCGCACAATATTACAGGACAACAAATTTTAAATACCTAGTTTTACAACAGCATTAGTGTTATATAATATTCTGTTCCAATCCAATTTACTGGAGACTGGAGGTGAGAAAGTGTAGACTGGTCAGCATGTGTATTGGATGATGTATGGAGTTTATAATTATGAGATAATTTAGAAACATCTAGTATTTAAGACACAATGTCTATCCATATAGATAGGTACACTTTGCAACATCTGAATCAGAAGTATCCAATGCCAGAGTGTGTTGCATTAAAACAATAGTTCCTAGCAAGCTTTTCTAAATAGTACAAAAAATATACGATTAGACATTACCATTAGCAACTCTTTACAACCAAGTGATTATAGGAAAAAGTTGTCTGCTCAAACACACTAAAAATGTAAATTATGATATGTGATGGACAAAATCATCATACAATTACGCCTGTAACTTTCATATGAAATATGCATATTTATAGAGATAAACAGATGTTTCTAAATTAAGCCACACCAAGGACAATACTTGTTATTGGAACTTCATGAAAGATGAAAGGAGAGGTACAGAAAGAATAATAGTAGTCGAGCTTATGAGTACTGTTTCCCCTCCACAACTTTATTAAAAGTAGTAACACTAATGTAAGCTATCAAACTCCAGACCTGGAAATTATGTGATACAGAGGTTTGTGGGTGTGGGCATCACAACAGCCATTTCCTTGAAAATGTAAAGGTTTTCAAGATTTTGTATTTGATTCCCATTCCCTACATGTATGGTCACAACTATTGCATACTTGTACCAAATTTGGTTCAGAATGAGTATTATATCAAAGGACGTGGCAGTGTCTGCACATATCACAATCATCCAAAAATCAAATTTAATAGTCGAACTTTTTACCCAATGACTACTCCCTGATGAATACAGGATTTAGTCAAGGATCTACATGAAGGCACCGCTCTGCCACACCACACATCAGAAAGGGGGGCAGAGGACAATATTGAAACTAAAAAAATGTAAAACATAATTTTCAATAACCATAGCAAAACATGAACTTAAAAGAAAGCAAATTACATCCAAATACACTCAACTGCAAGATTAATTGGACCATATTGTAAACACTAAATTGATGTGAGCAAATGATACAGTTTCAGTTAAGACACAAGAAGCAGGGAGTTTTGAAATTTGCAGTCTTAGAGAATTGTGCCAAATAATGTTCAAAATCAAGTAAGTAGACTTCAACAATACAAGTGATATTTGGATGCTATTTAACAAGGCACTGATGAAAAGTCCAATTGAGGAAATCAGCTGATGGAATATATCACAATCTTATAATAATACTAAAATCCAGAGTTAAAAGAAAGTTGGGTTTGAGAGATTATTATGCATTGTCATGACTCACTAAATTAATGGAGAACTTAAGCCTTAAATTAATTATTCACCCCCTAATAAACAAACTTCGACCAAAATTAAATGTTTAATCTCCAAATTAGTTATTAAGAAAAAAAACTGAAACTTAAGCAAACAGCCATGACTAGATTTTACATTTAAATGTTCTTCTACATTCATATGTAAAAGTCTAAAAAATTTACATCAACCTAACTTAGCAAACCAATTGCAGCCTTACAACTACAGCATACAGTGTGACTTACAGAAAGCGAACTGTACTACAACAATCAGTCATTTGGTGGAAAAAATATCACAAAGCAATAAATAGTTTTGCACTTTGCACACAGTATCAAGGCTGAGATATCGCATAAAGTGCAAGCTACAGGAGACATTTGTGACAAAATTTAGAGTATACAAAAAAAAGAAAAAAAAGAAAAAAAAAAAACTTCTTAGACAAAAAACTGACGGGCTAAGAATGAAAATGATATTTGCTCAGCCTGAATGTTGAGATGTCAGATGATAAAAAATTGGAAAAGTGTAAAGCAGTACAAATACAAATTGGACTTTGACAAATGTTAAGGAGAACATTCTGAACAATTGAAAAAAAAGTACAAATATTGTTTTTAGTCAGTGATGTCAAGATCAGACAGTAAACATTATTAACTCAACAGTTTTGTTCCTGCTCAGCAAATTCACACCTGGCAATACTGCAAACCATATAACAATTATAAAGTGAATGAAAGAAAAAATGGCATTGCCACTGCACAGAAACAGGTATGGTAATCAAATGATTACATAATCCTCATACTACACAATCTAGCCGGAAGAGCTAGTTAATGACAAACATTATTAAGTGAGCATTGAGTACGGACATTCAGGTATTCAGATACTTTACTCTGATGATAGGAAAATGGCATGCTAGCAATGTGTATAAACCATTACGCTAACGAAGTCAGTAAAAGTGAAAGCAAGGATTAGAAACAGTCTTCCTGCATGTCCTTGTTGAACCAAATCCAGCATACAGCATCCATTCAAACTAGACACGTTGTCTGCAATTCGGACATGTTGTGGGATAGGGAGAAGCCTGGAAAAAGAAAGATAAAAGGGTTTTAAAATCGCACAGGGAACATACTTCAAAACTGGCAAAAGTGATGTCATTGGCCTTTACCTCCTGCCATTTCTCGATACATCTAATGTGGAAGTTGTGGCCACATGCCAGTATGCGTTGTGATGATGGTTTGAACACAACTTCCTGACAGATACTACATTCTTCCAGTTCATACCTAAAACAACGACAAAGAAATTCTTTTTCAAAACACACCACATCCAAGGGCATGTGTCGAGACCACACTGATGGCAACAACCAACACAAAGCCCCACCAAGAGACAAAAGACCTGCGGACGACTGGCCTCTGTCTTGTTGTTCTAGGCGGAGGGGGAATGCCTACCTGCTCCCGTTTCGGGACCGCTGTCTGCCCCTAGGAGCAGCACCGTGGGCGCCCTCCAGCTCCCTTGCTGCAAAGTAGTAGTACAGCAGGGCGGCCAGGCCGACGCCCGCGGCGCACAGCAGCATCAGCGGGGGTGAGGGCATGTTGGCGAGCTAACCGGGCAGGATGTGCATTGGGGGCCGTACACGCGCGGCTGGAGTGTTCTCCCAAAACTTAACCCTTTTCCTGACAAAAGTGACAACCTTAGGCCCCAGCGCCAACGGCGTTGTTGTTGTTGTTGAGGAGGAAAACAGATTAGCCAACGTGAACTTGCCCCGGGGGCGGGGAATACCCGGCTTGATTGCAGGGTGATCTCAAAACTAGATACCCCAGATGTACAATTCTAGAAGTTGTATCTGCTGAGATGGATCCGAATTATTTTTACCACGTCAACTTTTGAAATTCACATGTATCTTTTTATCCTGTAAGTGTTGGTTATCTTGTGTCACATATTCGCACGCACTAGCAGACGAAATCAACACATCAACCAACGCACACTTTTGGCTTAGAAAAATGACGAAGAAAAGCGTGCCTTACACACAAAGGCAAACCATGGAAATTCGTTTTCGAGACGTACAAAAAGAATGGTTGTGGATTGATGCAGAATCAATCTATCAACGCAGAAAATAATGCGCAATATGAGTCGGTAGAGTGGCAAAGTGGGCAAGGTCCGGCAACGTCTGCCCGGTGCATCTAGAATCTTGCCAACCTTGCGAACCTTGTGAAGAATCTGGGACCAATGGTTTTAAGCAAAAGGGTGTTTAATTTAATGTCAAATGTGCATCGAATGGGTGATAACAATACAGGACGACTTCCATTTCTTTTTCTGATCAAAATTCAACGTTTTGGGTGTTTTTCTTATGAGTGTGAGTTGGTAAAATTCTCTCTAGATTGTCGTCGCCGTCGCCGTAGTATAGTAGATTTCATGTAGACTGTCAAACGAAGACTGATCTTAATATTTTTGAAACTGTGTGAAGCTTGCTCTAAAAGAATACAGCAGAATGCTTCATGCAAGTTTTCAGGTGTCCTGGTTTCATGTTATTTACAGCCAGTCAGTGACAATTAGTGTTTAGTGATTGCAGCCAAAGCTGTCATCTGGTCACAAAGGTTATGTTTATGCACCTTAAAAAATGGATAAACAAAGGTATGAACCTTGTATTTAGCATTTTTGGTGATTTGTTGATTTTTCTGGTATTCCAACGCGAACACTTTATACATTCCTTAAGTTTCTTGTACAATTAGGATACTTCTTACTAGTTGTCATCTTGTCTCTTTTGTATTTTCCCTTGTACTTACACAAACTTGAGATTTAATGCCCTACTTTCTTCTGCAGATTTTCACTTTTGCTCCTTGAACCTGGAGAAATTTACTTCGAGGACTTCAGTGTTGTTTTGCTTCCTAGTACCACATTGAAACGTCAAGATGGTCGCCTTAAATTGTGCTCAAAGTCAATTGTTTTTGATCCAAAAGATCTCACAAGACCCATCATCAAAATACCAATAAAAGACTGCACATCCATCACGGAGTTGCCTAATAAATTAAATGAGTAAGTGTCATCACAAGTTCATTAAATTTCAGCTTGAATATACCAAGTTTAGTATTCCTCTTTATTTTATTTTCCCAGGAAAGAAGAAGGAAATGGAGGAATATCTATTGAAACAAATCAGCATGTTACAATGCTTGATGGAAATATTGTGGCTCCGTATACTTTTCATCACGTAAGTTTCTACAGGTTTGGTTTCCTGAAACTCATCTGTTCGCAAGTACAGTAACTGGTGTCTTTTTTTCCTCTTTTAGTCCAAGGAGAAATTTCAGTTTGTTCTTAATTATGCAAATGTCCGAAGTTGCATTGCACAAATATCCCAACTACATAGAGCCTCAACTCTACCACTGGCCGATCAGAACACAATGGTAATAATTAACAGAAGCCGATATAATTGATAATGATGAGAGATTTACCTGTCTTTTCATAGTTTCATAGATTTAGCTGTTCAATAAACATTCAAATATGTTGTTGCAGCTTGCAGCCATTACATTTTCAAGGCAATCTCGAATGGGCTTTGATGCCTTATGGCTTGAAGACCTGTATGAAACACGTGTCATTGAAACTCAGGGCAGCAAAATCTCCCCACTTGTGGTGAACCCTGGACACATATTGTTAACAGACAGTGCTTTGTATTATCAGCCTTTCAACAATGTAGAGTCTGTAAGTCTGTGATAAACAAAATGCTTTTTTTTTCTCTTGCAAATTATTTTTAATTTACTGGAACTGTTTCCTTGTTACTTCTCAGCAAAAATTCTTTGTTTTTATTTCCAGCAACCTGTTCTAAAAGTGAGGCTAGCAGACATGAAATCTTTAGTTAGAAGACGTTTTTTATTACAACCTGTGGTAGGCAGTGTACTATATATGTATGAATATATTTGGGTAGAGTTAATATATTTTTACTTGCTTGTTACATCACTTGTGTTCTCAACAGGGACTTGAAGTACATAGTAGAGATGGAAATGTTCCTCATTTGTTTCTTGCTCTGAAATCTGCAAGGGAGCGAGATGACTTGTATGAAGGAATTATGAATCAGACCTCTGTTAACTTAGATGATCTCCAACAGGAAGCTGTGATGTTGCAATGGCAACACGGTGTCCTATCAAACTATGACTATTTGCTGTATTTGAACAGGTAGTGTCAATGTGCTTAACTCATTGTGCTCCTCTTATGGCTTTGCTTTTTAATGTTAATTCTATCTTTGTATCATTTTAATCCCAGTTTAGCAGATAGAACCTTTAATGACCTAACACAATATCCTGTGTTTCCATGGGTGGTTGCTGACTATACATCTCAAACCCTTCAAATTGATGCTTTTAAGACATATCGAAATCTTCAGAAGCCAATTGGTGCTCTTAACTCGGAACGATTGGAGAAACTAAAGGTATACTGTTACATAACACATATTGTTTCTGAGAGATTAAGGTTGAACAAAACATTAGAAGTTAAACAGTAATTTTTTCATTAGGATCGGTTTAATGAGATGCCAGAACCAAAGTTTATGTATGGCTCACATTACTCAACTCCAGGATTTGTTCTTTTCTATTTGGTCCGGAAATTTCCACACTACATGCTCTGTCTTCAGAATGGAAGATTTGACCATCCAGATCGTATGTTTAATAGGTATGTTTTGTTTTTTAAGTTTCCTATTTATTTATTTTTTTCAGTTTATGTGTAGTGCACTATTTGGAAAAAATTCTTCTTGTTGTCTTGCTATTGCCTGACCTCACAGTGTTTCGGATGTTTGGCGGAATGTACTTGGGAATTCCTCTGATTTTAAAGAACTTGTCCCAGAGTTTTATGACACCAGTGGAGGAGGAGACTTCCTTACAAACAGATATGGAATTAATTTTGGCTACCGACATGATGGGACCAAAGTCAATGATGTCACTTTACCTCCATGGGCTTCAAGTAAGCGGCTGGATTTTTATTTTTCAACCAAATTTTAGAAGCTGCAATCTTGCTGATTTCTTTCCTCTTTGATATGGCAGGTCCCTCAGATTTTGTTAATAAGTTAAGAGACGCTCTAGAATCAAGCTATGTATCTCAAAACCTACATTCTTGGATTGATTTAATTTTTGGCTATAAACAAACTGGTGAAGCTGCTGTAAAAGCCAATAATGGTAAGATTTCTGATATTTGTTTACTTTTTTTCTGTTCTATTTGAATTTCTGAAATTCTGAGTATTTTTCTGTTTTATGCCTGTGATTTTCTTTTAATTTTTTTTGCTAGTGTTTTATCATCTATGCTATGAGGGTTCGATTGACCTTGGAAGTGTAACTGACTCTGCCCAGCGTCATGCTCTTGAGGTCCAAATAATGGAATTCGGTCAAATTCCTAAACAAGTTTTCAAGCATGCTCACCCCAAGAGAATTGTTCACAGTCCCTTGCAACATCTTCTCATGAACCGTACTGTCTCAGAGGCTTCAGAAGATTCTGGTAATTCTCTTTCCCAAGATCAAATGTTATAGAATTTTCTTTTTGCATTGTGTTCTAGATTTCATGATTCACATCAGAAATTTTTTTGGAATGCTTTTTGTCTGATGCATTGTTATTTTTTTCAGAAAGTACCATACTTCTAGAGAAGGCAGCCACTTTTCAGGCTCATAGAGAGTTTGTGAGGTCACTCAAACTTATTAATGGTGGGGATGCAGTGGCTTCTGTTGGAAACGACGGAATTCTCAAAGTGCACTCTCTGGTCGAGTGTCGCCTTGTACACAGTGTGTGTCTAGCTCCTACTCCGTTATCAAGTGTGGTTTCTGTTCCCGGAGATCATCGCTTTATTGTAGGATCCTTTGATAACTCTGTGTAAGTAAAACTCATAAACCATTCCATTTATTCCTGCCTTGTTTCTGGCTGTCTTATCGTTTTTCCGTTCTCAAGGGTGGTGTATGATGTCCAATTTGGCCGAGTTTTGGACAAACTGGTATGTCATGAAGATGCAGTTTCCTGTCTGGGGTACTGTGGGGATAGTGCTGACAACAGCGTAATGGTGACAGGCTCATGGGATTGTACTGTGCGTGTGTGGAAAAAGTTACCTGTTGATCAAAGGGAATGGAAACAACTAAGACCAGCTAATTCACTGGCTGCCGAACTTGATCATGACACACAAGTAGTTTGTCTTTGTGTCAGCAGGTAGGCTATTAATTTTAAATACGTATTTTTTGTGTTCACTGTACATTTCATATATTAACTTTTAATGACTTGCACATCATAGAAATGGAAAATTACTTGCCACTGGTTGTGAAGATGGTACTTTATTTGTCTGGCATTTGGAAACACACACACTACATCTCAATCTTCCAGGTAAATAATTATATAAATATATGTATTTATAAATATACAAATTTTTCAATCCTCAGAATACTAGTTAAGATCTCAATTTTCAGGACATGATGGAGCTGTGGCTGCCTTAGAAATAAGCAAAGATGCATCTCAGTTGGTATCTTGCGGAGCAGCTGACAAAATGATGAAAGTCTTTGATTTAGCAAGTGGTATGCTTGTGTGCAACAAAGAAATGAAGCAAGGTTTACGGTATGGAACCATAGTATTCACAAAATTTGAATTCTCCTAGTCCTCTGTGGAGACCACTGCTCTATTTATATTTTTCCATTTTTTGTTTTGTTTTAGCTGTGTGGCCTTGCTTGATCAATATTTAGTTCTGGGTGGATCCTCTGGTTTACTGCAGTTGTGGGATTTTCGGAAGGTTCATCTTGTTCAAGAAATTGAAGCACATCTAGGTAAAACGAAATTCCGCTTGTAGCTTATTGCTTTCCATAGATTTGGCAAACTTTAAAAGAATTTATTTGTCACACAGGCCCAGTCTCTGCCGTGGCCGGTCTTCCAGACTGCACTGTTGTCGTTAGTGGTGGAGAAGATGGGTCAGTTATAGTGTGGCACCCATCAGAAAAGTAAAATATTGCCAACTATCCAAATAATGATATTTACCTGTGATTTATTACCATATTATGCAATTTTTAATTACCCTTTCATATGGTTGTGATGAATTTTTAAAATTTAATAATAAACCCAGTTAGGCTACTGATTTTTAACTTTTTATGGTGCTTGCAGTGCCAAATCATTTTAAACAGTAAATGTACATGGTATGTAGATTTGAATTTGAATTAAAAAAATATCTCGAAGTATGAAAATGTTTCAATTTCAACTTGCATCATTGTTACTGTTGCGGGAAACGTTGCCGAGAGAAAGGGTTGGGCATTGATTTGGAGATCCGGGGGAAGTGAAGTAAAGGGGAAGGGGGGTAGGGTGAG